AAAGGAAGTTGCTTTGGACTGAGCTTGAGGTTCTGAGCAATTCTATCTTGGAACCCTGGTTGCTCTTGGGAGATTTTAATTCTATCCTGCATGCTTCTGAGAAAGTGGAAGGTAAGGAGGTGTGTTGGGACAGTATGAAGGATATGCAGTTTTGTTTGTCTAGGTGTGACATCCAGGACTTGGGCTATAAAAGGCCTGATTTTACCTGGAAACATGGGAGGCTCCAGGAGAGATTAGATAGAGCTTGTACAAATGAAAATTGGAATATTGCTTGGCCTGATAAGTTTGCCTCTCATCTCCCTTTCTTTAGCTCTGACCATAGGCCTATTCTTATTTGTGATGATGGTAAGTTCAGACCTGGAGATTATTCTAGGAGCTTTAAGTTCTTGGCTGCATGGTTGACAGATCAGAGGTTCTTTGATGTGGTTAAAAAGAGTTGGGGCAATGAAGGGAATTGGCTATTAGCTAGAGACAGATTCGAAGCTGATGCTAAGGAGTGGCACCAGAATGTGTTCAAAGAGAGAATGAAACAGAAAAATAAACTGTATGCTAGACTTAATGGGCTGGACAGTTACAGGTATGGGAAATTTGATCACAACTCAGAGATCCTTCAGAAAAATCTTTGGAAGGAGCTCCATTCAATCCTAATTCAGGAGGAGTTGATCTGGCACCAAAGGTCTCGATGCCAGTGGTTGAAATATGGGGACAAAAACTCCAGATTCTTCCACTCCTCTACTGTTAGCAGGAGGAGACACAATAGGATAATTACCTTAAAGGATGAACAAGGAAATTGGGTAGCTGATACTGAAGCTCTTGTGAACATGGCAGTGTCCTATTATCAGGGTCTCTTCAAAGCGGATGAGGATAGGGATGATGAGTTTCCTGTTCAGAACTCCTTCCCTGGTTTGACTTCTGTTGAGAAAAGGTTTCTGGCCCAGACTCCCAGCAAGGAGGAAATTAAAGGTACTGTTTTCAGGATGGGCAAGTTAAAGGCCCCAGGTCCAGATGGCCTGAATGCCTTGTTCTTCCAAAGTCAGTGGGACATTATTGGGGATTCTATCTGTAATATAGTAATTGATATCTTTCATTTCCCTGAGAAAGTGAGAGATATTAATGGTACTCTGATTTGCTTGGTCCCCAAGAAGGAAAGCCCTGAGAATATGAAAGACTTTAGACCTATTACTCTTAGTAATGTTGTTTATAAAATCATTACAAAAATTATTACTGAGAGATTGAGGAATATTCTGCCTAGGATTGTCTCCCCAAACCAGTGTAGTTTCATTAAAGGTAGACAAGGGCTAGACAATATTATTATTGCTCAAGAGGTAATTCATTCAATGAGAGCTAGGAAAGGCCATAGGGGTTGGATGATGATAAAGGTGGATTTGGAGAAGGCCTATGATCGGCTGGAATGGGGTTTCATCTTGGAAACTATGAAGGAGATTGGGCTTCCTGATTCACTGATTGACTTGATTTATAGTTGCATCTCCACTTCTTCTATGAGTCTTCTTTGGAATGGAGTCAAAACTAAGAATATTTGTCCTGGGAGAGGAATTAGGCAAGGGGACCCTATTTCCCCTTACCTGTTTGTGCTGTGCCTGGAGAGGTTGGCCCATCTCATCAATGTGACAGTGGATACTAAAGCTTGGAAGCCTATAATTCTTAGGAAGCATGGTCCTCCTATCTCCCACCTATTTTTTGCTGATGATATCATCTTGTGTGCTGAAGCCAGTTTGGACCAGGCTCATGTGATCAATCAGGTTTTAAAGCTGTTTGCTGGTGCTTCGGGGCAGAAGGTGAGTAAGGACAAAACAAGGGTTTTCTTCTCTAAGAATGTGTGCAGAGAGAGAGCCAAAGAGATAAGTGATTCCCTGAGAATAGGGATTACCCCTGATTTGGGTAAATACCTTGGGATCCCTCTTCACCACAAGAGGGTTACAAAAAGGACCTTTACCTATGTGTTGGAGAGAGTGCAAGGGAGACTCTCCGGTTGGAATCCCACGTCCCTATCTTTGGCTGGTCGCTCCACTTTGGCTAAAGCAGTCTTGGAGGCAATGCCTGCTTATTCTATGCAGGCTACTGTTCTGCCGATTGGAGTTTGCAAGGAGGTAGAACAATTGACAAGGAATTTCATTTGGGGCTCCTCCCCAGCTAAGAGAAAAACCCATCTTGTGAGCTGGAAAAAAGTTTGCAAACCGAAGAATGAGGGTGGATTGGGCTTTAGAGATCAAAAGCTAGTTAATAGGGCTTTCTCCATGAAGCTGGGTTTTGGGTTGCTGGCTAATAAGGATGAATTATGGTCCAGGGTTCTAAGGAACAAATATAAGGTGGACGAATCTTTCACTCCTGTGATCAGAAACAGTGCTAATGTTTCCAATGCTTGGAAAGGGATTCAAAGGTCTTGGGACCAGTTCTAGAGGGATCTAGAATAGCTGTTGGAGATGGGACCAAAACCTTATTCTGGATGGACAGATGGGTTCCTTCTGTGGGCAGATTGATAGACTATGCCATTGCCAATATCTCTAATGAGGAGAAGAGATGGCTAGTGTGTGATTGGGTCAAGGAGAGAGCTTGGGACTGGGACAGGCTTGCTACTCTCCTGCCCAGAGATATTCTGGACATCCTAGGTGACATTAACCCTCCTAATGAACTTGGGGGCACTGATAGAGTAATATGGACTCTATCCAGTACAGGTTCTTTTACAATTAAATCTGCATGTACTTGTCTTTCTAACTCTGGTATTGCAACTCACCCTAAAACTTGGGATTTTGTTTGGAAATGGGAAGGGCCACAAAGGGTGAGATTCTTTCTCTGGTTGCTGGCTGGAAACAAACTTTTAACTAATGCAGAGAGAAGCAGGAGACATATGACAACCAACTCTACTTGTCCTAGGTGTCATGGGGATGTGGAGGAGGTTGTGCATGTATTCCAGAATTGCCCTTGGGTTCGTGAAGTGTGGAGCTGCTGGATCCAGAACAGTGAGATGAATTCCTTCCTGAACAATGATTTGGAGTACTGGTTGCACAGGAACTTAAATAGGGAGAAGAGGAATAAGAATTGGAGGCTGATCTTTGGGGTAGTCTGTTGGCTTATTTGGAAAGACAGAAATAGGTTGGTTTTTGATGGAAAGGGTTCTGCCCCCTTGGAAATTTTTTCCCAGGCCTCCTTATTTGTCAATAACACCAAGTTGGCCGAGGATGTACTGGTTGGGGCTGACTTAGCTGTGGACAGATTTTTGGAGATTTTGGTTAGTTGGTCCCCCCCCCCCAGCTGGTTGGGTCAAGCTGAACTTTGATGGTCCTTCTCTGGTGATGGTGTAAGGGCGGCTTGTGGTGGGGTGTGCAGAAATGAGTCAAGTATCTGGCTAATGGGATACTCTAAGAAGCTCAATCCTGAATCAGTTTTGATGACAGAACTATGGGGTCTCTTGGTGGGTTTGGAGTGGGCTTGGGAAAAGAAGTTTAAGAAGGTAATTTTTGAAGGTGACTCTTTAATGGGGATCCAACTGGTTAAGGAAGGTTGTGTTAACTCTCACCCTTGCTTTCTGATAGTGTCCAAGATCAGGGGGATGTTATTGAAGGACTGGGAGATTGAGGTTGTTCATGTGTATAGAGAAGGAAACCAAGTGGCACACTGGTTGGCTGCTAATGAAATATGCTCCTCCTGGAACACTCAGTGGTTTGAGAGAACTCCGGCTGGTTGTGAGAAGCTGTTGCTTGAGGATACCGAGGGCAAGATGATGCCCAGACACGTTAGTTTGTAGTTGTCTTTTCTTTCCTTTGTATACAAAAAAAGATATCGTTGGGACATTGAAATGAGCTTAGTCTTGAAGGAAAAAAAATTATGCTTAGCATATTAAATAAGAGCTAATGATTTAATCAACTTATTTAAGGCTTAACACATTCAATACAAAAAAATTATATTTGCTAGATTTTTAAGTTTGACCATTAAAATTAATGGCAACATTAAAATCATAGAAGTATGTGTTTTTTTTTCCCTCATACTCCATTCAATGACCTTGACCTAACATTCACGCCATTGGTTTTATAACTCGAAAAGGCATGCCATTGGATCCAATCCAACGAATGAGGCGCGCTGCTTCCTTAACTCGTTTTGCATCAATCGTACATCATTTGGTTGACCCCGTATGATTTGTTGTGACTAAAAAATTGCAACATGTAAACCCATATATAGCATAGACATATTTTAATATAAAAACAAGACGGATTTTGACACTATATAGTAAGTTACATCATGTTTAAGGGCATATTCATATTCTTTAGTTATATTACCCAACGTGAATATGAGTGTCGATATTAAATGTGGACAATTCTCTCCAATCTGGATCGACAGATTCTCATTTATAAGGCAATCACTATCTTCATATTAAATGCACATAACTATATATCTAAAACCAGAACCAAGACAAAGCTAAGATGGAAGGGCACCACATGGTAGTGTCATGCCAAGACATAATTAGGTCGATTATTTAAATGCTACTCAGCCAGCAGATACATAACACGTCAACTAAGAAATTGAACCCAATCAGACGAGAAAGGAAAACGTTTCTCCCTAATTGACATTTTGATTATTTCTTTAAAGAGGCAGTACATTTTATTATGCCATAGACAAGGATCATGTGAAATTTAAGTATTTTGAAACCATAGGCTTTTGATTTGATCAAGTCAATTATTCGCCTAACAATTGCCCTTAGCTTATGTATGTACTTGCCAGAGTTTTCAATGCTGTTAAACTTCTTACAATTCCAAATGGACTTACTGAACATTTTTTAAGGAATTAAAAAAATTCATGATGGATCAAATTTACATGAGACAAGTTAAAGCAAGAGGTTGTTTTCCAATTGAAATAAATATCCCACTAGACACAATTGATGACAACCAAATGAGTAAGACAGAAAAGGCCTGGCCATGTGTTATGAATCCCTTCACAAGTTCACATCTAAACCCTTTTGCACATTACAAGAGGGTAATTTACACACATTCCAGAAACATTATTGTCTTTCGCACCCATACTTTGTCGCTCTCCATTTTTCCTCATCAATATCTAGTGTTTTAAATATTACCTTTTCCATTACGGAAGAAGAGAGTCCAAGCATTCTTGGATAACCCCCACCCCGCGAAAAAAAATATATATGTTCCTTAAACAAAAAAATAAAAATTTGATCTTTTCCATTGCAATATCCATAACCTATTTAGTGGAAACGTTAAAGTATAACAAATAATAAATTAACAAGATCTGAGAAATACCTCACTCTTCACTCTTCAGTCCTTGAGTGTTCCTCCCACTTCTTCAGAAGCTCCAGAAAAATTTCATTCCATGTGTCTATAGGCCCTGGCAAGCACCAATGAACACAATCATTCTGAACACGCTCTTGAACCCCATTAGCAAATGGAAAAGGATACATATAAGGACCTGGGTGGCCATCAGGTCTCAATAATGCTAATTTGGTTACATCCAATGCCTCCAACCTAATCCCTCCAAATTTATTGGCTTTTTCCTGTGCATCTTCCACTTCTTCAATCTCAATCTTTCTCATCTCAGCATCCATACCTTCAAGTTGCTTCTCCCCATTTCTATAAGGCTTAATCTTTGGACAAGCACCAGCCTTATCCCATTCACCTTCAAAATGAGCAGGTGAAAATGTTGTCACAATTACATCAATTCCATTGCCTTTACCTCCTCTCCTATCAACTACGCTATTAAGGGTAGTCCTTAAAGCCTTTCTTAGCACATCATAAAACCCAATCTCAGTGTGATTAAGACCAGGACAGTAATGACAACCCAAAACTGAATCACCCTCATAGTATACTGCAGGATGCAAAAACCAGTGCCCAATTGATAGCACAATCAAGTCCATTTGATCCATATCCCCAGCCCACCTCTCATCAACATGATCCAAATACAACTCATTATGATTTGGCCCTGAGTTTGATTTCTCAACACCATGCACAAGAAATGGGGACCAATAAACTGAAACACTCACATTGTGAGAAGGAAAATGCCACCGACGAAATTTGTTATCCTCACCATTTCGGTGGACAAGGTTAGGGGTTGAAGCAGTGGCTAACAAGCAAAGAAGGGACTCTAATTGGTTCCTAGCCATAGAGTCCCCAACAAAAGCTACATGCTTGTTCTCAATGAGTTGGAGAAAAGTGTTAGGTTCAAACCTTGGAAGATTGCATTGATTTGGTTTCCATCTCCAGTAAAGATAGCCCGAGTCAGGTCTTCCATGGTTGATGCAATTCTGGCCTTCTTTGATGGTACCACAAGTGGTACCATTGTACAAAGGACCTCTCCTGTCACGGATCCATTTCCCATTAAAGTAGTCACATGGGGTCTCAAAAGCTTGTTCCTTTTCTGCAATAAAGAACATGTTAAGACTAGCAAACCAACAAATCCTACATCTCAAAGTTGCTAATTACAATTTAAGACAAAACCCACTAACAATAACACAGTTTTGACTAGATGAAATTATCCGTACATGTACCTGAAGAAGAAAGAAGAGGAGGAGGAGAAGAAGAAGAGTGGGAGATGAAGGTGATGTGGTTGGAATTAGGAAGCTCAGTAACTGGAGATGGAAGAAAGGGTAGAGGATAGAAGTATAAGCGAAGCAGAGCTATGGGAAGTATAGCATAGAGAGTCCAAGGAATGAGTCTCTTTGTGAGAGAGAAGGAGAGAGATTGATCTTTGAATGGGTTTGTAATTCTCATTTTCAAACCTTCCTTCTCGCTTATGGCTTTTTCTGGTGTTCTTAGCTAAGATAAATGATAGGGGAAAAAAAACAGTGTTTTTTGGTTTTTGCAAATGTCATGTGAAAGTTGGAAAGTACAGACAGAGAAGCAGGCTTCCTGGGTTGGAAAAACACGTCATTGGATCTCTATGATTTCTCTTACTTTTATTTACTAACTAATCTTTATAATTTCTGTCTTGGACTTTTATGTCATGGAATATTGGTATTCCAATGTTGTCCTCATTCCTTGCCATCGTTATCTAACAAAATAATAACACAGAGGCTATTGTGCCTAGATGCATAATAGTTAAAGGGTTTTATAATTCTCGTTTAACATGATAATTATAATTATTTTATACATCTTTTGATTTTCGTACTGATATGGGTCTTATATATAATTTTTTCTTACACATGAGTTCCATATGCTTTTTATCTCTACAATATGAGATTTCAATTCTCCTTCAACATGAGAATTATAAAACCCATAGTTAAATCATATGTAAATAACACTGTTAGATAAATAAATTTTTTACACTTGTAATTGACTATTTATATATTATTACTCTCTTCTATTTCTTTTCTTTTTGCATTTTTTCTCATTAGAACAACTTTTTCCTTTTCTATGGCATCTATTCTGCTTTTTCTTTTTCCTTTTTTTTTTTTATAAAAAATGCATTAACCGTACGAGAGTGAAAGATCATAGTAACCAATAGATAATATAAATTAGATGTTGTATATATGCAAGGACAAAATCGTCTGGACGGGAAGGAATTTGCTCAAGGACCATACGTTCAAATACCCTATAAAAAACACATACTTTTTTTTGCTGTTAAAAAAAAAAGAAATAAATGTTTAAAGGATTGCATAATTTCGTGCATTAATACAACACGAGACAGTACAACTAGATCAATTATTTTTTTAAGTGAGATGTGCAATTTCAGAAGTATAATACATTTTTGTTGGCGTGTGAAATGCCCACATGAGCCAAAAAAATTTATTGCATGCACTGAATCCTCTAAAGTATATAATTATTATAGAGACAGACTTAATACTTGTTTTGCATAAAGTTATATTATTTTATTTATTTTAAACACGAGATCAACAACAGTACAACTAGAGGGAAAAAAATATTAGAAAAATGTAACCTACTTTCAATTGGAAATGAAAAAGTCTTCCAACTCATAACGATGGAAAATATGAAAGGTGGGGTATCCACTTGATAACGATGGCAACGTGTAATCATCACCACTAAAATTGATTGTGCTGCTAACTTCAACTTTTTAGGGCGATAGCAAGAAAGATTGATCTTACAAAATTAATATTATTTGCACCATTGTAGGTGCACTCTTTCTTGCTTTTGAATATTAGATATTTTCATAGTTAAAACAATTGATTATTGCCGACATAGCAGGTGTTAGAGTACTCAAACCTCCAACTTATATAATATATATTATGGATTTATTAATTTTATGTTGTTGGAAAATAATTCTTTTATATCATAATATAATTATAGATGGGGTTCACTTATTTATAAAAAAAATTAAATTACACAAAAATTAATAGGTACGTATAAAAGAGACTTACTTTCCAACAATATGAAAATAGTTTTTCTCATATTATTTGAGAAAAGATATGTTTACAAACTTCTTTTTTTTACAAATTACACTAAGTATGATCAGTCATACAAGTCATACACTCTTGATTGAAGTATGATCGGTCATACTTAGTGTATTTGTAAAATTTTATAAACATGTTATCAAAAAAAAAAAAAATTATAAACAAAAAATTTATAAATATAACATTTCCCGTATTATTTAACTATAGTTAATCTCACGTAAACTTTTCTAGTTCTCTCTGAGGTAATGTGAATCTAGGTAAATTTTATATTAAATAGTATTTTTTAAAAGTATGTAAAATTATAAGAAATGCGTATGATTAATAATTAATTTAAGTAAAATCGAAAAATATAAATTAACAAATAATTGAAATTAAAAAGAAGATGGATATAATCAATTTAAAAAAATAAATAAAAGTTACATATGTTCTTTTCTAATGAAGAATAAATTAGGAAATTAATTTGTCTTAAAAACTCTGTTAATATAACAAAAAATTAAATTAAATTTTATCCAAAAGTGAACTACTAACAATTCTTAAAAATAGACAGTCAAAACATAAATCTTGATTTGTGTTCAATATTTATTAGTTAAACCAATTGGGGATAATTATATTTATTATGTATTTAATCTTCTCATCTGTGCTATTATTTTTATTACCGTTAGAGTATATTTAAATCAACAGTTGAAAGAGAGATAAATAAGAAGTGTAATTTGCTAAGAAAAATAAAGGAGAGAGAAGCAAAATCTAGAGATGTATAACTATTATTTTTTAAAAAAATTATTATATTTGAGACAGTGATAATTATATTATCTATCTATTTAACTTTTTTTAATTACAGTTAGATTGCATTTAAATCAACGGTTTGGAAATAGAGAAATAAGAGGTATAATTAGTTGAGAAAAGTAAGGGAGAAAAAACAAAATAAAAAAAATTATATACTTTAAATCAACATATACTTAAAACCGTTGATTTAAATTTATCTTACCGTAATAAAAAGGTAATAAAGATATGAAGATTAATTAAATAGGCAATATAACTGTCTCCTTTTGATACTGTTGATTTAAATTTTCTAATGGTAATATTAGGTAATAAGGATAAAAAGATTAATTAAATAAGCCTATAACCGTCCCCAAACTAATTTTAACCGAAATTTTCAATTATTTATTTCACACTTCCACAGCCAATATATGTCCATTATTTTTCATTTTAGAAGCATTTTCTATTTTCCATCAATTTATTTAACAGAAAAATATTTCTGCAATCAATGCAGATAAATTATCTGCATTTATTCTCAAAACGATGTCATTTTGGGATTGAATGATTAAAAAATTATAATTATAAAGACTATAATAATTCTGCAACAAATTAAAATTACAAAAATACCATGATTTCCGTCTAAAACGACGTCCTTTGGGCTTATTGCAGATAACTTATCTGCAATGACCGCAGAAAAAGTGGATCCTTTATTATAAAAATATGAATTAATTATCACTAAATATATAATTTAATGTATTTGATACTTAAATACTAATATAATTAATATATGTAATTACTTGAAAATTAGATATAATTGAGATATTATGTCTATTGTTTTTTATATTTATTTTACCTACTCATTTTCAATACTGTTTGATCAGAAAATTTCAACTAAATTTCATCTTTATTCTCTTCTCTTGAGATTTTGATATAATAATATTGAAAGTTAATAAGTTGAGTAGGCATAAAAAATGAAAATAATAGGTATAATATTCTGTCACATTTTCTGATTCTTAAACTTTAATATAATTGTCGCGAAATAGTTAAAGAACAAAATTAAAAAAACTAGTTTCCTTTACCAAAAAATAAATTAGTTTCAAAAAATGAGGTATAAAAAGGAATAACATTTATTTGAAATGAGATAATGGATACGAAAGAAGAATCCGAATAAACAACAAGGATACATAAAGAGAAAATAGTTTCTCATTTGCATAAATAAAATCTATTAAGAAAAAGAAAAAAAGAAAAAAAAATATATTTCACTTTAATGTGTGTAACCTAAAAAAACTATAATCCCGTATACAAAAGATAAAAGATAAAATTTACTATTATAAAAAAGAGATAAATGACATTGTAACAACCAAGTTGTGTTACTACTATGTTACTACCAATCAATCTCACCGTTAGATCGATTATATTGATCCAACGGTTATATTTATTTCCATCTTTGTATGGTCACGATTTTTCATATTTAATACTTTATATTTATTTTTACCTTTGGATGATTATGATTTCCCATATTTAATGTTTTTATTTTAAATTTAAAAAATCATGACCATACAAAGATAAAAATAAATACAACCGTTGGATTAAGATAATCGATCTAATGATGAGATTGATTGATAGTAACTTAATAGTAACATAATAATAACATAACTTGATTGTTACAATATCCTTCCAAAAAAGAACGGAACATGACGGTGGACCAAGATTTGTAATGGTGACCAGCTCAACAACCAAGAATGGGTTCAGACTTGTTCGGTGCGTGGATCGGTGGATGTGTACAAAAATAAGTTGTATACGACATCACGACTAGTTAATTTAAATAATACGTATATTGTGTTGATATAAATAATTTTTGAATATATTTTATATTGAATTAGCTCGATCTGATGCATCTTAACATGTAACCAGACAGGTAACTCTGGAAACTTTTTTAAAAAAAAGATGAGGTTGGTTATATTTATTATCTTTTCCTTTTATTATTTTTAACTATCAGTTTTGTTATTGTAGAATCAAAATTAAATCAATGATTCTTAATTGATATTATTTTATAATTGTTTGTTTGATTTTGATCTAACCATAATAAAATTAGTAGTGAGAGATAAGAAAAAAAAAATAGTAACTAATAAGTATAACATATCCTAATATATTAAAATGAATTATTAAATATTTTTATTTATTAAAATGTCATTTTAAATTAAGCATGAAGTAAAATTATCCCAATTACAAGCTGATTGCAATTTTCGTCTTGGGATATTGACTTTTGTTGAATTGGCTATTTGCCGTGAAAAATATGCAAAGCAAGCAACAGTCCTGGGCCCCTAAGCAGTGCAACTGTGAAGGCCGTGGAATCCATACAAAGAATTATGTGCTGGGAAATTCTTAGATATTTTAAAACAAGAAAAAGTACTTGTTCTTTAAAAATTATATTACTGTGTCTGTAGCTAAAAAAAAACTATAGTAATGAGGGCTACCAGTATTTTTATTTAATAATATTTTTAATATTTCACTTTTATTTCATTTCTTGTGACTTGAACAAATGATATGAATATTGTTATAACATTTTTTATTTTATTTTTTGTGCTATTATTAAATTAAAAAAATTTAAAAACACCCAATATAAATATGTATTATGAGTATTGAAATCGTAGTTAGTATAATAGAAAACTTGTAATTTTAAGGCCTTGTCTTAGAC